AAGTGGTCCAACATTTATCAAGTGCTGAAAACAAAACCGTCAACCTTGAATCCTGTATCAGGTGAAACTAGCCTTCAGGAATAAAGGGAAAAATGAAGACATTCTCAGATGAAGAGAAACAGTTTGTTGAGACCTACCCTTAAAAAATGGCTAAAGGAAGCTCTCCAAACAGAAATAAATTAACAGAAAGAGGCTGGGACCTAAGAAAGAGAAAGAAGGTAGAAGGAAGGGAAGGGGAGAGGAGGGGAGGGGAGGGGAGAGGAGAAGAGGGGACGGAAGGGGGAGGAGGAGAGGAGGGTTATGCATGCAAACACTGATTTTAAGAATGCAGTACTGAGTATGTTAATATCAGATAAAGTAAGTTCAGAGAAAGAAAATTACTAGGGACAAAGAGGGACATTATATAATAATAAAGAGATCTCATGTCTATAATCTCAGCACTTTGGGAGGCCAATGTGGGCAGATCACTTGAGCCCAGGAGTTCGAGACCAGCCTCGGCAATATGATGAAACCCCATCTCTACTAACAAAAAACACAAAAATGAGCTGGGCGCGGTGGTGCATGCCTGTAGTCCCAGCCACTCAGGAGACTGAGGTGGGAGGATTGCTTGAGCCTAGGAGGTGGAAGTTGCAGTGAACTGAGATCACACCGCTGGGAACTTCAGCTTGGGTGACAGAGTGAGACCCTGTCTCAAAAAAAAAAAAAAAAAAAAAAAATTCAATAACTCAATCCACCAAAAATATATATCAGTCTTTAATGTGTATGTGCCAAACACCAGAGTTTCGAAATATATGAAACAAAAACAGAGTTAAAAAGAGAAATAGACAAATCCACAATTACAGTTGGGGATTTCAACACCCCACCCTTAGCAATTGATAGAACTACTAGATAGAAAATCATCAGGATGTAGAAGAACTGAACACCATCAACCAACGGGACCTAACTGATATTTATAGAACACTTCGCCCATTAACAGCACAATACACATTCTTTTCAAATGTCCATAAAATATTCACCTTGATTAAAACAAAAAAACCTTAACAAGTTTAAAAGAATTGAAATGATGAAGTATGTTCTCTGGACATAATGGGATCAAATTAAAAATTAATAACAGAAAGATAACCAGAAAATCTCCAAACCTTTGAAACTATAACTAATATAACCTGAGCAGTTAATGGGCTGGATCATGAAAAGCCTTGTATACTCTATTTAAAGCTCCAGCCCATTATGCAAGAATGGCAAATCACTGAAGCCATTAAGCTAGAAAGTAATATGGGCATATTTTTGCATTAGTAATACAAGTTATAAATCACAAATGCCTGAGATATGGGCAGTAACTCATATAGAGATTGAGACATAAGCCTTGTAGCTTTTAGACCATAGCCTGGGCAACAGAGTGACTCTGTCTTAAAAAAAAAAAAAAGAAAGAAAAAAGAAAAGAAAAGATATGTAGGGAGGGGGATAGGAGGAAAGAGAAGGAATGAAGTAAAAGATGACCTCAGGTTTCTACCCTGGGTGTCTAGAAGAATGGTTGTTAGTTAATAATGAATTTGTATTTAGACATGTTGTTTTTTTAAAGCTTTTTATTTTGAGATAACCGTAGGTTCACATGCATGTAGGAAATAATACAGAGAGATCCTGTAAACTCCTTACCAGATTCCCCCAGTGGTAGCATATTGCAAAACTATATGGTACAGTATCACAACAAGGATATTGACATTGATACAGTCAAGATATAGAACAGTTTCATCACTGATATATTGGATGTCATCAAAAATATTTTGCTCTGTCAAAGACCCTGAGGATGAAAAGACAAATTATAGACTGGGAGAAAAATACATGCAAAGTGCATAGCAGGCGAAGGACTTATATCTAGAATATGTAAATAACTTTCAAAATTTGCTATTTAAAAAATCAGGCCAGGTGTGGTGGCTCATGCCTGTAATCCCAGCACTTTGGGAGGCCGAGGCAGGTGGATCACCTGAGGTCAGGAATTTGAGACCAGCCTGGCCAACATGGTGAAACCCTATCTCTACCAAAAATATAAAAATTAGCCGGGCTTGGTGGTACATGCTTGTAATCCCAGCTACTCAGGAGGCTGAGGCAGGACAATTGCTTGAACCCGGGAGGCGGAGGTTGCAGTGAGCCAAGATCGTGCCACTGCACTCCAGCCTGGGTGACAGAGCGAGACTCTGTCTCGAAAAAAATAAATAAATAAAAAATTAAAAAAATTTAAAAATCAGATTAGGAAATGAGCAAAAGACATGCACAGACATTTCACTGAAGAGGATATACAGATGAGATTTCACTACACACATATCAGAATGGCTAAAGTAAAAAAAGTGATAACATCAAATGTTGATGAGGATATGGAGAAACTGGATCACTCATCCATTGTTGGTGGGAATATAAAATGGTATCATAGCTGCTCTGGAAAATTGTTTTGTAATTCCTTTTAAAACTAAAATTGGACTTGCCATACAACCCAGCAATTGTACTCTTGGGCATTTATTCCAGAGAAAATATATTTTTGTGCAGAAACTTGCACACAAATGTTCACAGCAGTTTCACATGTAATATTCAGGCCAGGCACAGTGGCTCATGCCTGTAATTCCAGCACTTTAGGAGGCTGAGACAGGTGGATCACGAGGTCAGGAGTTCAAGACCAGCCTGTCCAATATGGTGACACCCCTTCTCTACTAAAAATACAAAAATTAGCCAGGTGTGATGGCATGTGCCTGTAGTCCCAGCTACTCGGGAGGCTGAGACAGGAGAATTGCTTCAGCCTGGGTGGTGGAGGTTGCAGTGAGCCGAGATCGTGCCACTGTACTCCAGCCTGGGCGACAGAACGAGACTCCATCTCAAAATAAAAATAATAATAATAATAATAATAATAATAATAATGTTTGAAAATCTAGAAACTACCCCAATGTCCTTTGATGGATGTGTGGTTAAATAAATTGTAGTACGTCCATACCATGGAATACTACTCAGCAATAAAAAGGCACACACAACTTGGATGAACATCCAGGAAATTATCCTGAGTGAAAAAAGCCAGTCTCAAAAGGATAGACATATACTGCATGATGCCATTTATGTAATACCATGAACTAACAGAGAGGTGGAAAACAGATTGTGATTGCCAAGAGTTAGGCTTGAGGGTCTGAGGTGACTGTGGCTAAAGGGTAACACAAGAGTGTCTTTTGATAATAGTGCTTTTAAGTATCTCGAATGTGGTTGTGGTTACACAAAGCTATACATGTGAGAAAAACTGCATAGAGCTATACACATATGTACAAAAATGAGTGCATGTATAACTGATGAAGCCTGCATAGGTTCTGTGCATCATCCCAATGTCAGTTTCCTGGTTTTGATATTGTACTCCAGTTATGCAAGATGCTAACATTGGTGGAGACTGGGTGAAGGTTGCAGGAGGCCTCCCTGTTCCTTTATTTTCAACTACCTGTGAATTTTCATTATTTCAAAATAGAAAGTTTAAAAAATCAGTGCGATGGTTAATTTTAGGTGCCAACTTGACTGAATAGAAAGCTGGTAAAGCATTATTTTTGGGTGTGTCTGTGAGAGTGTTTCCAGGGGAGATTAGCATGTAAGTCTGAGTGAACTATGTGGGAAGATCCACTCTCAATGTGGAGAGGCATCAGTCAACTTGCTGTGGGTTCAGAGAGAACAAAAACAGACAAGAGGTGAATATGTCAATCTATCTGCTGGAACTAGAATACACTCTTCCACTCCTGTCCTGGGACAACAACTCCAGGCTCCTTGGCCTTTGGACTCCAAGACACATACCAGTACCCTTGTCCCCCCTGGTGGGTTCTCAGGCCTTTGACCTTGAACTGAGAGTTACACCACCTTCTTCTTTGTTCTGAGGCTTTCAGGCTTGGACCAAGCCTTGCCACCAGCATCCCAGTGAGGTGGGAGGCAGAACTTGACTCCAGAGGCGGGGCTTGGACACAGGATCCAATTGAGGACTAGCTAAAACAGGGAAGGGGTGGAAGCAGCTTTCCATAAGACACTCCCACTAGTGTGTCCATGTCAGTTTACCATTACCATGGCAACACCTAGGAGTTACCACCCCTTTCCACAGCAATGATCTAAGGACCCAAAAATTACTACCTATAGGCTGGACACGGTGGCTCACGCCTGTAAACCCAGCACTTTGGGAGGCCGAGGCGGGGTGGATCACCTGAGGTCAGGAGTTCGAGACCAGCCTGACCAATATGGTGAAACCCTGTCTCGACTAAAAATACAAAAATTAGCTGGGTGTGTTGGCGTGTGATTGTAGTTCCAGCTACTTGGGAGGCTGAGGCAGGAAAATCGCTTGAAGCCGGGAGGTGGAGGTTGCAGTGAGCTGAGATCGTGCCATTGTACTCCAGCCTGGGCGACAGAGTGAGACTCCATCTCAAAAAAAAAACAAAAACAAAAACAAAAACCTACCCTTTTCCTAGAATTTCTGCACAAACTGCCCCTTAATCTACATGTAATTAAAAGTAAGTATAACTATGACTGCAAAGCTCTCTGCCTATGGGGTAGCCCTGTTCTGCAGGAGCAGTCATGGAGCTGTAACACTGCTGCTTCATTAAAACTGTGTTCTTCTACCCTACCACTGGTTCACCCTTAAATTCTTTCCTGGGTGAAGCCAAGAACACTTGCAGGCTAAGTCCCACTTTGGGGGTTATCTGCCCTGCTGCATCAGGGTCTGCAGCTTGCAGATGGCCTGTGGTGGGACTTCTTCAGCTTCCATGATCCTGTGAGCCAATTCCCCAAATAAATCCTCTCTCTGTCTCTCTCTCTCTCTCTCTCTCCTATTGAATCTGTCTCTTTGGAAAATGCTGACTAATATAATTGGGCTAAAAACTAGCACGACCAGTCATAGCAGGCCTGCAACATTGTCACACCATATGTTTTGAGACATTTTCACTGCTGCTGCTCCCTATAAATGAACAGAGTCCCTGGAAACTTCAATGAGGCATTCTTTTCCAATTGTGTATATTCACAGAGGGACTAAAGGCACTTGTTCCTTGTGTTTTCTGAACCTTGATGTTGTCATGTGATTTTGTTTTCCATTTTGACAGTGCTGTACTTGTGGCTGGATGATCTCACCCCAGCTTTTCTTCTTCCGTGGGATGGTGATGATGGTGTATGTTTTAAAGAGTTCTCTGATTTCTCTCTCTCTTTCTCTCGTTAAAACTTCTTTTCATAGCCCCAAATAAAAATGCTCATTGCATCTTTCCTTCTGCCTGCCCCATTTTGGAATGAGAACGTAAAGCCTTTGGGTCCCCTAAATGTAACTTACACATTTTATGTTCCAGGCTTTATTGAAGCGTCTGAAGATTGAGCATTCAGCCACTCAGGAGTGTCTCACGATTCTAAGCAGCCAGGAAATCCTAGGGCCTTCTTTTGTACCTTTTCCATGGTGAATAACCTTGTATTCAATGGAGAAGAGAGGAGACACATCAATTACACAGAACTATTCTTTGGGACACCTGAGTGTCCATTTAGTCATTACTAATAATGTTAAATAATACAAAATGACAACATGCAGGTACTTTTGAATACTGAGAGACCTGGAATGTAACTTTGGCACAACTTCAAAGCCACAAGTGCTCCAGTTTATGTCTTATTGGAACAAATCACTTCCCCTTAGACTCCCACAAAGCCTCAAAGATGATGACAAAAAGCAATATCATTTCCTTCTTGTCTGGAGAGAAGAAATAAAGTCAGAGAGCCCCATGTTTCCCGAATGGATGACTAGTCAATATTACATGAGAAGAGCAAAATCCGTCTCCTTAACTGAGCCCCTCATTCGCCATTTATGGGGTTCTCAGTGCTTTGGTATCAGCTCTGGTCACAATGTTTGATAGTGAGAGAGACATACCTATTCATTTTGGGAGAGAAGATATCTCGTAGTATTTCTGATATAGCGCCTTGAATTCTTGAAGGAAAAAAAAATTGGTTTATGTCAATGCCAGGGCATTGGTGCTATTACTGAAGTTCTAAATCCTAGGGATGACTTAGAGAAGATTTAAAGACCAAAGTCAGTAAGTGGAGGTTTTTTAAAACACCACAGATGGCTTCCCCTCCCCTGACCTTTTTAAGGGTCATTCCTAAATGAAGCAAACTAACCACATACTGAGTGATTCTTATACCCTAATCCCTGTACATTCAGCCTTTCTTAATGAATTAAGGGATGAGAGAAGATGCTACTAGATTATTTTTCTGGAACTGACACATAATTGTTATGTTATGAAACTGATACATAATAGCTTTGTTACCAAGATGTTTTAGCTGTTTGTTTGATGGTTTGTGCCTGTTAGTTTTGTTTGCTTTGGATGGTTTTTCCTTTAATGATTGTTACATTTCAAGTGATCTGACTCTAGCTGTTTAGGGATCTTTCTGAGACTCTCTCTAGGCTGAACAGGGACAAACTCTTGTGTGTGTCTGGGAGTATAACATAAGTGCCCACGTGCCTGCCAGTCTATCTCAGATGCCCTGCGGTCATAGTGGGGTTTGCGATCAACAAGCCTCTTCAGAATGCCCTGGTTTTCCATGGTGATTCTCACTAGCTCGCGGTTCCTCGTTTCTCTATTTAAGCTGAAAAACACAAAACCCTGAGACGGGTGAAGAAGAAAATGCTCATCTTAACAAGTGGGGGAGATGAAGTCATGAGATCATAAATGCCAGGCTGTCTAAGTGCAGGGAGTAACCTGTCCTGCTGAGCCCACAGGCCACTGGGGCAGCCTGTTGATCCGCACTGCACTCCGGGAAATGTACACAGCATTTGGAGGTTTATATCAGTGGTCCTCAACCCTGTTGCCCATGAGAAGATTCTACTTCATTGATCTGAGGTGAACCACGCACACTGGCATTTTGTTAAAATTCCCCAAGGATTATAATGTAAAACCAGGATTGAGAACTTCTGGTTGGGGGAAGGTCTCCCTGTGGATAAATCCCTGGCGACAAGTTTTGGGTCACCTCGCTTGCTCCTCTCAGCTTTCAACTTATACCAGAATATAGCAGGATATAGGAATGGCATCTTGACCATCTCCTCCCCCCACACCAAGTTCTTTCTCTTGCATGTGCTTCTTTTGTATCCTAATCACACTGCATTGTCATTATTTCCATAAATAGCTCTCCTACAAGACCTTGAGTTCTTTGAGGTTAGGAAATATACATCTCATTTCATCTCTGTTATTCCTGGTGCCTAGCACATAGTAGTTGCTCAGGAAAGATTTCTGGAACCAGTTTTAAGAATGTCACATCATAGCCCCAGCCATGGTGCTATGGTCCAGATGTCTGTGTCCCCAAAATTCTTATGTCCAAATCCTAACCACTAAGGTGATGGTTAGGGGGTGCGCCTTTGAGAGATGATTAGGTCACCCTAATGGAATTAGTGTCCTTATGAAAGACGCCTGAGAGAAACCCCTTGCTCCTTCTGCCGCATGAGGTTACAGTGAAAAGATGGCTGTTTGTGAAGCAGGCCCTCATCAGATGCCGAATTTACTGGCACCTTGATCTTTGGACTTCCTTGCCTTTAGAATTATGAGAAATAAATTTTTGTTGTTTATAAGCCACCAGTTTATACCATTTTGCTATAACACCCTATAATGGACTAAGACACATGGCCACCATCTTATAAAAGTGGGCAGTACATTCTTGTGACAAACTGAATAGGACTCTGAAAAGTCTCTTAGATGAAATAAAAGCTCTTTAATGCTAGAGAAAGGTCCCCATTTTTAAAGTTTTCATTCTGTGTAACATGGTCTGTTTGGTTCTCCCTCAAGATAACTTTCCTTAAGTACTCCTCTGGCTTGGGAAAACCTCACACTAAAACCCAAGAGGAAAGTCAATTTTGACTTTTCAAAACTGAAATGAAGACAAAGAACATTACCTCTTGGAAAAATATTCATTCCAGCAATCCACCTTGGCAGGGCCACGATGGGCATTTGCGATTTTCTGACACAGTTGCTTGTTTTCATACTCGATTTTGTTGATTTTCTTTTGTTCACCCTGGTAAGAAACCACACCTCACCGTGGTGACACCATCAGTACACTGCTCCCACACACAATGACTTAGTGTCCCCCTCCTCTGAGATCGTGGGAAAGGGGTGCATTGAGGGCCACAGGGGAGACTGGGAGCAGAACTTAAAAGACTGGGACACTGGGTGCGGTGGCTCACTCCTGTAATCCCAGCACTTTGGGAGGCTGAGGCAGGCGGATCACGAGGTCAGAAGACTAAGACCATCCTGGCCAACATGGTGAAACTCTGTCTCCACTAAAAATATGAAAAATTAGCTGGGTATGGTGGCATGCGCCTGTAATCCCAGCTACTCGGGAGGCTGAGGCAGGAGAAACGCTTGAATCTGGGAGGCGAAGTTTACAGTGAGCTGAAATCATGCCTCTGCACTCCAGCCTGGGCGACAGAGTGAGACTCCACCTGGAGGGTGGGGGGGGAAGACTAGGGGTGACGTGTGTGGGAAGGAGTGTTAACAAATCTTTGAGTAGATGGGTATTTAGAAGGCTCTGAGAAATTGAAACTCTTTAGGAAATGGACTGGAAGTCAATAAAATACATCTGCACATCTGCAAGCAGCGAGAACAAATACCTGTAGTTTGCTCAATTTTAAAATGTGATGTGTGTGCGCCACTGGAGGTTTGGTATCAACAGTAGGCTTCACTAGAGAAGGGGGATAAAAGGGAACAATGTTACATCACAGGAATTCCAGTAGCGGCCTCAGAAAACCAGCACTAGACAGTGTCCTTGACTAATGAACACTTTTGAATTAGGACCTTAATGCGACTCAGAAAGTTTGGTTTGGTTTAATTTATCAAATGGACATCTCTGGAGACTTTTGAGCAGAAACAAAAGAATAGTGAAAGTAAAATTTACAGAGATAAATATCCTTTTAATCCAATGAAGAAGCCTCTCTTCCAATCCTTTTCCAATATTTTTAGCCTGTCTATTGGCTTCTGAAGTCCTATCCTCTTTCTAACGTACTTTGGCTTTAAAGAGTTGAAGGGAGTATTTCCATCCAGTGAACTCCCTGGTGGAAGATACATTTTATTATTGGTGCTAATGCCCTCTTGCCCAAATTCAGCAGTTAAGGCCATATCATCCCAAAGCTGTGACCTGGTCTGGTTTACTGTCGATCTCTTTATGGGTTACCATTCCAAAATCCCTGATAGCGGTGTCCAGCCCAAAGTGCCCACATACCTATTTGTATTCTATTCTTGTGAGATATGTAGTGGTCAAAGTCCAGTTTCTTTCTGAAGGTTGTGCTTTGCCTGTGATTAGAGACGATAACAGGGTAGGCCAGATAATCCAGGGAATTGTTCATCTTCTCTTCCTAGTCTCACTTCAGAAATGAGGTACCCAGACTCCTCTGTGAGGTGCCTAGCTGTCCCCATGACAAGCTGTCATAGTTACCCAGTTATGACATCAGGGACAGGTCCCGGGAAGGGAGTAGGAGCAGCGGAGCATGGCTGGCTGCCTCTGGGCTTGTGTTTTTAATGCTAACCTAGGCTCAAGTCAAGGAACTCGAAAGCTTTCTCCCCTGCTTAGAATGCAGATGCTGCCAGCCGACACCAGAAGGAAAGGAGTGGTGTGCTGGGAGGGGTGGCCAGGGATGGGGTGGGGTGAGGGATACAGAAATTCCAGCCTCGGTTACACATCTTGGGCTATCAGCTAAGTAGTCTCCACTGCAATAGCTTGCCTGAAGGTGCAAGACCACAAGTTTTGGGGGAGGAGAAAGTTGACCCTAATGATAATCTGATCCAATTCCTTTTGCAAATGAGGAAACTGAAGACCACAACAGCAGCAATGTTACTCAAGAACCAAATTAGTGGCAGGGCTGGGCTCAGGATGTGGGGTTCCTGAATTCAAGGCCAAATTTGCTCTTTGCAGGAAGGGAACTGCCAGTCTTTCATGGCAGTAGGGGAGGGCGGCTTTCCTCCAGTACAGACTATCTTTTGTACTTAGTGGGAGTTCAGGAAATGCTGAGTGGCTTATGGTGGGCTGGCATCTGCTCCAGGAAGGGCTGCAGGAGTCTGATTGATCTCCACCCCAGCACAGGGTGTAGCACCCACTGGGTGCTCAACGCATTTGTTGATGAAGGACCAACACTTATTGAGTGCTCGCCATGCAGTGCTGGGTGCCTTCCTTGAATGTCACATTTAACCCTTCCAGCAATCACCTGGGCGCTTGATTCTGTCAAGCGCCCAGGTGATGCCTCCACAGCAGGGAGCCGCTCACGAGCCGAACCCCGCGGTCCCTGTAATCCTGAAAGACTGAAGGAACCTCTAGGTGTACCCCCGCCACAGAAACGTTTATTGGGCCCTGCATTTAATTCAGGGAAGGAAGTTACGGCGCTTCCCAGTGTACAAAGATACACAAAGATACACAAACGGCCTGGACCGGGATGGGGCGAGGATTCCCGAGACTCGAGGGCGGTGGCGTCTCCCCCCGGGGACGCGCCCAGCAGTGGCGCGCTGGGCCCCCGCGTCACGGCGCCCGCGCTCCGCAGCTCCCGGAGCCCGGCGGGCCCGCCCCTGGGGCGGGACTGGGCGGCTCCCGGCGCGAGGCCCCGCCCAGCTGACCCGCCGCTCTCCGCCTCGCTTGCTCCTGCCGGGCGTGCTGGGCCCCGCCGCCGCCATGTCGGGCTCGTTCGAGCTCTCGGTGCAGGATCTCAACGACCTGCTCTCGGACGGCAGCGGCTGCTATAGCCTCCCGAGCCAACCCTGCAACGAGGTCACCCCGCGGATCTACGTGGGCAACGCGTGAGTGCCCCCAGTGAGCCGGCCGCGCCGTCCCTCTCGGGACGCCCCGCCCACTCGAGGCCGGGGTCGGGGTGTCGCGAGTCTTGGGTTGGGGGAGCCCGGGCGCGATCACCCCTCCGGGAGCCACAGCGGGGGCTTGGGAGGTGGCTGGAGTCGACGCCTACCCCCGCGCGTGGGGCCAAGTAACTGGAACCCTGCCTGGCCGGGCGCGGCCATTCCCCGTCGCGGGGTGCACGGAGCCCGGGGGGCGCCTGCCCGGGTCCTCAGCCGCCACCCCCGTGGGGCTTGGCCTTGGGCGGGGTCGGGGCTACCATGTTCACTTAACAGGTGGCCCTCGGTCGCCCGGCCGGTCTCCTGCCAGCGCGTCATGTGACAGCTGCCTGGTTCTGCAGTGAGGTCACCGCGGAATGTCTGCCTTCGCCGCCATGGCAACGGGCCGACGTCACAATTCGGGCATGGAATTTTCCTGGCCCGGCAGTCCCGGATCAGGGAACCTAAACACCCCAACGAGCGAGTCCGGGGAGCTGGGCCGGGATTTCCAGGCCCCCACCTTCCAGATGTGGTTTGATTTACAGGAGATTCCAGAACGGTCCACTGATAATCCCCCTAAGGACCTGAGCCACTACCTAGAAAAGGCTCTTGACCTTTCACTCCCAGGCTCTGTCACCCTGGCTGGAGGGCGCGATCTCGGCTCACTGCAACCTCTGCCTCCTGGGTTCAAGCAATTTTCCTGCCTCAGCCTCCCGAGTAGCTGGGATTACAGGTGCCCACCACCATGCCTGGCTAATTTTTGTATTTTTAGTAGAGACGGGGTTTCGCCATATTGGTCAGGCTGGTCTCTTGGCCAGGCTGGTCTCAAACTCCTGCCCGCCTCAGCCTCCAAAAGTGCTGGGGTTACAGGCGTTAGCCACTGCGCCTGGCCAGTAAGAATTTTTTTTAAATTTAAATTTAAAAATTTTTTGTAGTAAGAATGTCTAATCAGCAGGAGAGAACTAGTGTTAGAATTCTCAGATGTGAAATTGGAGCCACAAGAAAGAATAGATTAGCATGCCTGTACAGCCTTGGACAGGCTCAGGTTGGATTTTCATGAGACTCTGAGGACCCAGTTACCAAAATCCTAAGCTCCATGGCTCAGCCCAAGGATGGCATGTTGAAAATTCAAAACTAACCCTCCTCCCATTTTACAGAGGAGGAAATGGTGGCTCAGAGTGTGTGAGGGACTACAAGGACAGGGTCAATGTCTTGTTCATGTATGTATTTCCTGACCTCTGCTAGGACCTGCTGTTCAGCCTGCCAAGGACTGCCACAGAAATGGGGTTCATCGTGGAACTAGAAGGGGTCCATCAGGCCCTAGCCTCATGGGGACAGTTCTCATCCATTCCATCATTCATTCACCAGTCTGAGCGCCTACTTTATGTCAGGCACTGTACAATGTTCATTCATAGTAGAGATAGTAATAATGATAATGGTAAATTTTTTGAATACTGAATTATTAATAGTATTAGAGGCCTGGCGCGGTGGCTCACACCTGTGATCCCAGCACTTTGGGAGGCTGAGGCAGGCGGATCACCTGAGGTCAGCAGTTCAAGACCAGTCTGACCAACATGGTGAAACCCCGTCTCTACTGAAAATACAAAAATTAGCTGGGCGTGGTGGCTGACGCCTGTAATCCCAGCTACTTGGGAGGCTGAGGCAGGAAAATTGCTTGAACCCGGGAGGTGGAGGTTGCAGTGAGCCGAGATTGTGCCATTGCACTCCAGCTGGGCAACAAGAGTGAAACTCCATCTAAAAAAAAAAAAAAGGCCGGGCGCGGTGATCTCAGCACTTTGGGAGGCCGAGACGGGCGGATCACGAGGTCAGGAGATCGAGACCATCCTGGCTAATGCGGTGAAACCCCATCTCTACTAAAAAAAAAGAAATACAAAAAACTAGCCGGGCGTGGTGGCGGCGCCTGTAGTCCCAGCTACTCGGGAGCCTGAGGCAGGAGAATGGCGTTAACCCGGGAGGCGGAGCTTGCAGTGAGCTGAGATCTGGCCACTACACTCCAGCCTGGGTGACAGAGCAAGACTCCGTCTCAAAAAAAAAAAAAAAAAAAAAAAAAAAAAAGTATTAGAGAAGGGAGATGAATGGGAGTGACTCTTCAAAGGATTTTTTTCTATCAGCCACTGCTTTACAGTCTTGTGCAGTGTCCTAAGCAGGAATAAACAGAATCCCACAGTGTCAGCCAAAGGCTTCAGGAATTGCAAAGCTCTAGAGACACCCTTCCTCTTGCTCCAAGCAGCAAGCAGGCCTTGTTAGCCTCAGGAACGCCGCTTGCTTGGGCAGCTTGGCCATTCAGCTGTCATCACTTCCCAAGTGGAAACCAAGGTTGTGCACGTCTGGTGTAGCCAGAGTGGCAATTGCTGATGGCCCCTGTAGAAAATACATCCCTTGCCCTCTAAGCACATCTGACTTTGTCTTGGCCAGGGGTGTGGAGGTTCCTCAACAGGGAGGATCAATGAGCACCGAGCACCAAGAGGACGTGGGCTCCATCCCCTTAACAAAATCAGGGCTGCAGCCATGTCCTCACAAGGCAGAGACAGAGCCTGTGTGAGCCACATTTGCCAGGCCTTGGGGGTTTTGCAGCAGATGTGGGCATGAGAGGCAGAGTGAGGTGGAAGATAGAGCAGGGCTGGATGTCAGGAGAAAGGAGGTCTTCTCCCAGCTCTGCCACCAGCAGCACATGGGGCCTGTGCTCATCCCTCTGCCCATCCTGTTGGCCCTGAGTTCAAGCTCTGTTAAGCAGGGATATTGCCATCCTTGTTCCTCACAGGGCTGCTCGCAGTGAGCAAACAAGATCACATAGGAGGTGACATTTTATAAAGTATAAACTGCCATTTGGGCTGGGATGTTTTGTGAGATGAAATAAAAGGGCCTTTTCACCATTCAAACCAATTATGATTTTTATTTTTATTATTTTATTTTATTTTTCAAGACAGAGTTTCACTCTGTCACCCAGGCTAGAGTGCAATGGCATAATCTCGGCTCACTGCAACCTCCAACTCCCGGGTTCAAGTGATTCTCTTGTCTCAGCCTCCTGAGTAGCTGGGATTACAGGCCTGTACCACCACACCTGGCTAATTTGTGTATTTTTAGTAGAAACGGGGTTTCGCCATGTTGGCCAGGCTGGTCCCGAACTCCCGACCTCAGGTGATCCACATGCCTCGGCCTCCCAGAGTGCTGGGATTACAAGTGTGAGCCACCGCACCCGGCCTTAGATCAATTATTTTGTAACCTCCCATAGTTCTGTTGGGGCCACTTACTCCCCAAGTACTAAATCACCTAAAAGAGCTTTGGAAACGTAGCTAGTGGAATGTGGTAGGTAGGATCCCTCTAGGGGGCAGGGAGGGGGCTGCCTGGCGCATGACAAATTTATTTTTCTGCACTCATTCACCGCTTATTTATTCAGCACCTACTATGTGGCAGGTACTATAGCAGGTGGTGGGGAAACAGACTTAAAGCAGACATGGTTCCTCTCTCAAGGAGCTCAAAGCCTGGATATCTAAACACAGAAGCACAATCAAGCATTAGAATCGTAGTGCTCACTACCATGTCCGGCTCTGTCAACGGAATAGCCCATTTAATACTCATAACAACCTCAGGGAGAAGGCACTGTTATCCCCATTTTACAGAGA